TTCTTGTTTCATTTTACTTTCTTTTATTATAAATGTTGTTATAGTTTGTATCCAGATGTCCCCCAAAGCCCCATGTGGTCCTAGGTTGGGCTTTTTGAGGTGGCTGGATCTAGGGTATGTGATACTAGGATCAAGGACACACAGCCACTAAATTAGTCCATTGATTGGTTTAGCATAGTTCTGGGTGTGGATAATGGGAAGGTTCACCATGGGTATGGATGGCACCACCCAAAAGGTGAGCAGTCTGGAAGCAATAAAAAAGGCAGGCTGCTGCTTCGGCTGCTGCTGCTGTTGCCGCTGCTGCTTGCTGCCTGCCCTGCCACACCATGAGCTGTTCCTAATCTCTGAGGCCCCTCTGCATGCCACCCTGCTTTGCAACCAGCCAACTATGGACTGAAACCTCTACAAACTGTGTGCTAAAATAAACTCCTCCTTTCAAAACTTTGGGTGTCAGGTATTTTCTCTCAGCAAAAAGAAAAGTAACTAAAAGAAATATTGTTGAGCTTTTTTCATGTTTGTTGGAAATTTGTATCTCTTTAGTGAATTGTCTGTACATATTTTTGCCTATTTTTGTATCGGGGCTGTTTTACTATTTAAGTGTACATTCTCTTTGATGTTACTGACCGTGACCCTCTGTCACACTGTTTGCGCTCATCTTACTCAATTATTTACCTTTCAGTTTCACTACATGTGTAGATTTTATATAAATAAATAAGTTCATTGTTCTCTTTGCTATTATTGTCATTCAGTTATGCACCAGTAAACCAGCCTCAAAAGACCCAGAATTTGCTGGTATTTTCAGTGTCAACATTCCTACACTACTGATTTCTCTCTGCCAATTGGTCTGCTTGTAAAATTTGTGGATATTTAATGGCTGGCTCTCACAAGTGTGTACCAGCCGGCTCCTGCAGCCCACTGTCTTAGCTACTTTTTCGTTACTGAGACACAATACCTGACAGCCCCAATTTAAAGGAGGAAAGGTTTATTTGGCTCACAGTCTGTGGAGGTCTCAGTCCATAGTTGGCTGGCTCCAAGGTAGAGTAGTGTGTCAGAGGGGCATGGCAGAGGAGAGTCAGCTCAGGACACAACCCTGGGAAGCAAAGATGAGTGGAGAAGAGATGGACCCTTCCAGGCCATGCCCCAGTGACCTACCTTATTCAATTAGACCCCGCCTCCTAATGGCAAGCCAGTTATAAACCCCCATAATCCAATCACCTTCCAGAACCCCTACCTATGACCTATGAGTACATGAGATTTTAGGGAACATTCTAGATATAAACCATAACCCTGCTGCTATGCTGGGTGCTAGGTTTAGGTTTAGAAGGTTCTTCTGCATAACAAGGTCAAATAAATATGTCTGCTATGTACCTCTCAAACACAGGTTCTTAGTTATTTTATTTTTGTCATCCAAATAAAATGTTTTATTATGCAAATAAAAAAAATCGAGAATATAATGAAATTAAAAGAAAAATATTAATTCAATAATAATCCCATCATAGAGAGATATACAAATTCCTTTTTTTGTTGTATCCAGCAGACTTTTTTCTATCTATGAATATGCTTCAGGCTCTTGATGTTTACTGACAAACTACCATTCAGAAAGTTTGCACCAGTTTACTTAAAAACACACACACAGCATCGTATTGTGTGTGTTGATTTTTAATCTGCTTTTCTTAATCTATAATATATAATCTATATCTTTTCATGTCAGTATTCATCCACAACTTTTTTATTAGCTGAATAATACTCCATTTTATCTCTAATGTTTCTTTAAAATTTTAATTTACAATGTATTTACTGTAAATAAATACTTCTACTGTGGAGCATTTAAATTGTTTCCAAATTTTCCTATTAGAAGTAACCCTGCAATAAGCAGCAATATTTCTCTTAGATGTGTATGAACAATTATTCCCTTAAGATAGGAAGATAGTCCATGAAACAGACTTTCTGAATCAATGGCCATAAATCCTTACATCACCCTCTCCCCTTTCTCTTATTACTATGAATGGTGTCTTTTTATTATTTCACAAATTTGGAATGTACTGTTTTAGATTGCTCATCTGCCAAATAACTTAATAGCTGGTCTCCTTTCCCATCTGTTGGTTCTATTGACTAAGAAATAGGGTGTTTATGGAACTTTTCTTATGACTTGGGTCATATCCCTAAGGAAGTGTTATAGTTCCACATCCTACAGAAAACTATCCATGACGGGAGCCAGGCTCTCCCCAGGGGCATTCTAAAAGGAAGTTGAACTAGATAGCACCATCTTCACCATAACCCCACCTTCACACTGCCCAGTCCGCCTGGGACTGCTGGGGGCAGGGCATGTCAGCAGCCCTGGGATGCCAATGTCTGTCATGTAAACCTGCACCCTCCCCCTCCATTTCATCTTGTCTCCAGCCAGGCGTAGGTTCACTCACAGAGCCTGGATGGGGAGGCTAGGCAGCCCTCTCCTGAGGAAGATGCTTCAATGAATGGTTGAATGTGCAGAGCTAGCCTCTGGGTTGGTCTCTGCCTCAGCATCTCACAGAACACTATGCCCACCCACTGGGTTTCAGGAATGTAAGTCAGCACAGAGACTGATGTCTACTCACCTGGAGATTCTTGTTGATGTAACCTTGGCCAAAACACAATAGACACTGGCGTCCTGCACCTGGGGAAGGGGGTGAGTTTCTGCCTCAACTTCCCTTGATCCACACCTCCCAGGGAAGACACCGGAGGTCTCATCAGGTCCTGTGACTCCACATAAAGGAAAAAGCAAGCAGTGGAAAGACAAAAGCTCTGGGAACTGAAGCCAAATGGGCAACCTGGGCCCTTGAGTGACTTCATGGGATGGAGACAGCGACCCGTCTGCTGTAGTTTGGATGAAGTTTGCCTCCAAGCACTCGTGTGTTGGAAGCTCAGCCCCAGTGTGATCATGTTGAGAGGCAGTGGGAGCTTGAAGAGGTGACGCCTGGTGGAAGTTGTTGAAGCCATTGAAGACATTGCCCTTGGAAGGAACTGATACAGCTCTTGTGGGATCCTAGCTAGTTCTTTGGAGAGGCTTGTTATAAAGATAAAATCTGGCTCCTGCTTTCTCGCTCTCTCACTCTGGCTCTTTCGCTCTCTGGCTTCAGGTCTCACCATGTGATTTCTCTGTCCCACATGTGTTCCCAACGCATTGTTGCCTGCTGTGATGTGATGTAGCCAGGAGGCCCTCCCCTGAGCTAGCACCATGCTCTTTGGACTTCCAACCCTCAAAACTGTGAGCTAAATAAACCTTTTTTCTTTATAAAGTACCCAGCAGAAATAAACTCACTTAAGCCCTTGTATTTGGGGTCTCTCTGTCCTGCACCTTAGCCTACAGCTTATTCAACACAATTATAGAAAAGAATGTCTGCCTTCCTACCCCTTATCCCTGGTCTCCACACAAGAAAAGCTAAGTCTGGGAGAAGGAAGGACAGGAAGAGTGTATCTCAGCTAAACCATGCCCCTTTCCCCCATACTTATGCCAAGGCTGAGGAATAAGCCTAGCATATGATATGGTACAAAGAGATGAGCTTTAGATAGAGCTAGAGATTATATTTTTTTTTTGAGACAGAATCTCGCCTTGAACTCACCATGTAGCCCAGGCTGGTTTTGAACTCACAGCGAGCTCCTGTCTCAGCCTCCCAAGTGCTGGGCTTACAGGCACACACCACCACGCCTGGTTGAGATTATAATTTTTATACTAGAATATAGTATTAATAACTCAAAAATACTAAAGAGGTATGAAATGTGCCCCAGATACCACAGCGGTGAAAAGAGAAGAATTTCAGAATCCCATTGCTAGAATGGCTAAAGGAAAATAAAAACCGTCTCTCACTGAGACTCCACTACCCTGATGTTCTTCATTAACTATAATTAAAAACCTTTAGAAAGTCCCTGTGTTTTCAGAAATCCCTTCAGGTCTATTTGACTCCCTGTAGTTTATTCTTATTCCCTTCTAATCAAATCAGCCCCCCAAAATCTAGACAGAATATTTTCTTTTTTCCAGTGTTTGTGTATAAATTCTCACTCTCTTTCAAACTCACACCCTGAGGGAAGGGGATGTAGCTCAGCGGCATAAGCACTTGCCTGGCAAGCCTGAGGTCATGAGTTCGATTCCCAGTACAAAAAAAAAACCTCACACCCTGCCCTATTTACATCCCCACCCTCCGCCCAGCACCCCGCCCCATTGTCCTGAGTCCCTCCATCCCACTCTCTCTGCCTGTCTCTCCCTTCCTTGTACCTCTGATTTCCCAAGCAGCTTCTTTCAGATCCTTCCTTCCTTCTGAGGAAGCTTTTTCCCTTTTGTAGCTGAGTCTTCAGGCCATCAGAGACAGGCACACCAACCCAGAGTGCTGGGCTGAATGGTGCCCTCTCTTGCCCATGGGGACTTAGAGAATAGGAGAGTCAAAAGCAATACCTCTATAACCAAGGGACACTAAGAATTCCCAGCAACCACCAGAAGCCAGGAGCTGAGAGTACGGGACAATCTCCCCCTCAGAGTTTCCTGCCAACTCCTTGATTCCTGACTTCTGGCCTCTGGAACTATGTGAAATCAATTTCTGTTGTTAGTAAGATTGGTACTTTTAAGAAGAGAAAACAGAGCTCTTTCACTCTTCTCTCTGTGGAAGAAGACACGATGACGAAACAGGCATCTGTGAAGCGGAAAGCAGGCCACTGTGGGCACCAAACCTGCCAGCACCTTGACTGCGCGAGCAGTACAGCCCTGTGGTTTATAACCCAGGCTTTGGCACTTTGTCACAGCAGCCCAAGTGGGCAGATACCTTCCCGTCAGAGCTTATTTTTGCCGTGTCCTGTTCCTCCCTGGGTTGATAAATGTAGACATGCGAAGGCAAGCTGCTTCGTTGGGGGCACGTGAAAGCGTAGCACAAACGTGGGATGCAGGGAGGATTCATCTGTATGGGATTTGGGGCTGTTTTTGCACTTTTCTGAGTCCGTTTTTTATCTACCCAAGAAATGATAGAGAACAAAAGTTTTTTAGTTTTTAAATTTTTATTGTTGATAAATAAGTGTACCTATTTATGGGGTTTGACATGATGTTATAACATTGTGGAGTAATGAAATCAAGCTAATTAGCATACTCATTACTCGCATACTTCTCATTTCTTTGTGGTAAGAACATTTAAAATCTACTATTTGAGCAATTTTGAGATACATGGCTTTTTTTATTTCCCACATGTATGTATGCATACGTGTCTGCAGTATACAATGAATGTCAGTCATCCTAGAGAGTTGGCACATGCAGGTAACACATCTCAATTCTTTATCTCCTTCCCCTCCCCTCCCTAGATACACATTTTAAAACAATTTTTGAGGTACAGTGTGATATTTCAACACATGAGTATGGTGTCTGTACTGGTCAAATAAGTGTACTTTTTTAGGACCTTCAAAACGAAAGGGCTATCTCGGCCCAGGCAAGGGAGGAGCCGCAGGTGGGCGAGCAAGGGCTCATCTGCAAGGCGCGCTCCTGCTCCTCTGTCTCAGCATCAGGTTAAACCTGGGGTCGTCTCACCTCCTTAAGCGGCCTGGGGAGAGGAGTGCAGAGCCCTCCGCAGAGGAGCACAACAGGCCCAGGCGCTCAAGGCCACGGTCAGCTCGCCGGTCAGCCAGCAGAACAGGGAACCCCGGGCTAACCGGCGCTCAGCACGGACCCTGCCAGGGCCCACTCACCACAGTCTAGCTGCTCCATGTCCACAAGGTTCTTTCGGGTAAAATCAAGGGCTGCGATGACACTGAGGCCAATTGGGGCTGTCTGCAGGCTTTCACTGCGCATCTGCTTGGGCAGTGCACGGGGGAGAAGCGGTGAACTCCTGCATAGGTTCCCATTCTTCTGCCCTTACAGTGAGTGGAGGGAAGCAGGAAGAGCAGAGAATGACGTGTGCTGAGAAGGCAAGAACGAGAGGAATGTGCAGGAGGCCACCAGAGGGCCACGAGACCCTCTGCCGAGGTGCTGTGGGAGGGAGATGCTAATGTGAGGACAGCTAAGCTGACTCAGAGAAAACCGCTCCAGCCAAGGGTACGGGTGACACAGGCGGAAGCCAATGTGAGGCATTCAGAACAGCCAGAAGGCACCTGGAACAAGAGGAAAGACAAGAGGGACAGGAAAGACGGGGGAGTTCGGAGAGGAAAGCAGACCGTGACCGATCCTGGGCCACCAGGAAGGGTTTGATTATCATCCCATTGCTGGGGAGGTAGGTCACTAGGAGGTTTTAAGCAGGAAATAGCTTAGTATAATTTACACCTTAAATCACTGCGACTGCCATTTAGGAAACATGTGCAGCAAGAGTGGTGGCAAGGAAGCCAGTGAGAGGCTGTTCTGCAGTTGTACGGGTGAGAGAGAACAGCACCTTGGGATGGCAGATGCTCTGCTCCAGGGCGCGGAGTGGGACACACAGGGTCCTGTGATAAGAGGAGAGCTGTCCATTACTCTGTGTAACAGATGTCTGTGTTCCTGAGGGCACAGACTAACATGCTCTATCAGAGGAATCCAAAAGTCAGTGATTTAAGCAAGGTAGAAGTGTCCTGGCCAGCTCAAAGGCAACCAGACAATTCTAAGACAATCAGAAAAAAACCCTATTCAACATCAAGTTAGACATACAAGTGAATTTGGCCCTACTTGGCAAGCAAGTACACCTGCGTCTTTTGTTTCTCTTTATGCACATACATTTTTATGTCATGAATCTCCACTGGTTAATCACATATGTTTGTACCAGGATCAAAAACTTAAAATATTACCCAATATGGAAAAAACATGCTTTCTTATATCCCAGCACTGGAAGAATTTTTTCTCAAGCCTCAAAGCTGAGTAGGATAATAAAGCTCACCCAGAGGCCAATGAGATCCATGGTTTAAGCCAAAGGCCCATGAGCACAGTCCTGACCTCGATTCTTTTCTTGCTGACATGAAACTACATAGACTCTTGATCACACAGAATCCATTGGGGAAAGGAGAGGGGAGGGGAAATCTCCCCCAAATGACTGAGCAGTGAAAAGGCTATTTCGATGTGAAAACAAATAGTTAAACCAGAAGAGACTGAGGTGGAGCTAATGTGAGAAGTAAGCACTACCTTCACTCCCAGCCCAATTCCCCAACTCAGCTGGAGTAAGGTCTCCATGAATTGTTTCCCAAATATATGAAAAAAGTATATGGAAAACCTCCAGCTATAACTTAAAACCATCATGTTCATCAAAGTCCAGATCTCTTAGTTTAGATTTCCTGACTTTCTAAAGTTTTTGCATCATCGTAGTCACTGGTTAGTGTTAATTTAATATTGAAAGCAGCTCTAACGTTAGCCCAAAAAAGTCCATGCTTGCTCTTCTCTGTGGGCCATTCCAGGTAAGTCCGCTGTGCCATGACAGCCCTCAGCTTGTGATACTTGCTGGGAATGTTGTTCTCTGGGATGGGTTTCAGCAAGATCAGGATTAGGTTGTTAGACCCTTCCCAGAAGAGCTTGTGGTGGGCAAAGTAGAGTTCATAATGGCACCACTCGCTCTGGATAAAGTTGGGAGACAAAACAAAGATGGACTTGTAGCTCTTCTCAATGCAACTGATGATATTTTCCACGATGCTCTTGCCAGGGACAAAGTTCCTCTCATGGAGGCAGATCTGTAAGTTTTCTTTCTCAAGGTTCGGTAGTAATTCATTCTTCACCCAGGCAGAATCAAGTTCACTGTAGGAGACAAAAGCATGAAACTGAAGATTTCTTTGGAGTTCCTCTAAGGGGATGTTCCTGGTCCTGCGCCGGGTCTGGGTCCACTGACACATCATCCTGAGATACCAGGGCAGATCGAAGTAGAGGCAGAGGAAGGTGACAGTAGCAGCCAACACCAGCATGGAGGTCACTATGGTCACGATAAGCAGAGTTGTGTTGCAGGATAGTGGAGACACATGGAAGTCCTTTAGCAGGATTCCCTTATAAGGGTCTGGATAGTGACACTTGTAAGTTTCAGGCCAGTCCCACACTATGTCACTTGACAGTTGGCCAGTATTTTTGATGAATTCTCTTAACTCACACGTGCAATGGAATGGGTTGTTCCCTGCTTTCATTGACCTAATCTTCTGGCAGCTTTGGAAAAAATCAGTTGATGGGTGGGAAACTAAATTATGGTCAATGATCAGTGCAGAAAGGCTACTGAAGGTATCACATCCAGGAAGGTCGGTTAAAGAATTGAAAGCAACATTGAGTTCTTGCAAAGACTCCAGATAGGTGACATCCTCAGGGATGTTCATTATCCTATTGCTGTGAAGATCAAGTACCTCGACTTTGGGAGGTAAACATCTGAATACAGACTCAGTAAGTACATTGGAAGACAAATTTAACAGCACTATGCTCTCGCTCCAAGTGCAATTTTGTTCATGTGTATGAATTCCCAGAGAATTCCCACTAAGATCCAGCGTTTTTAAAGATGGCATGTTTTTAGTCATAAGGCTTACTTTGAAAAGGTTTTTTAAACTATTCTTTTGCAAGATAAGTGTCTCCAGCATCACCAAAGTGGAGCATGTGTCAAAAACACTATCCGTGAACACATTTTGGCTAAAGTTTAAAAACTTAAATGGGCTGCGTGTGTCAGGGCACAGCATGTGAACCAGAGGTGTGTCTGATATAGTTAGCATCAGAATATTCATCTCCGAGAACACTCTGTATAATACTGTCTGTGAAAAAAGAAAAACTCGCTTTGTAATATGTTCTATCTTCACGGCTTTCAAGGTTGTTGCAGGGTAAATAAATTTTATTTCTGTAACCTTTTGATCTATTGTTAAATTGTAAATGTTAAGGTATTCCACAGGTCTGGGCCAAAGGAATCGAAAAATGTTAACCAAACATGTCCAAGGGGTTTCCACATGATTGAGAATAAGATTCAGTAATGTCGGACCTCTAATGAGTCCTAATAAAAAGTTAACAAAAACTTGACAGTTCTCATCATTCAATTTAATATTGGTCAGTTGTAAGCACCCTGAAGTATTAACTGATATGTTCACCTGGACAGAGAATAAACTATTTGGTTGAAAAACAAAGTGAAGTATTTTTGTATTCAGAACTTGAAGATTTTCTTTCATATTTTCATCTACATAATTATCTCCCAAAACCAGAAGAAGGTAATTTAGATGCAAGGAAGCAATGGGTAGTAGATCTAATGGTTGAAACTTCACAGCACTTAATCCTAGGAAACTGAGTTGAGTCAAGTTGCCAAATTCCAAACAGATGGGCAGCACATCAAAGTCATTGAATGAGAGGTCTAAATGCTTCAGACTCACCACCGGGTAGCAGGACATCTTTCGCAGCTGATTATGAGATAAATCCAAATGCTCCAAATCCTGATTGAACTTGAAAATACTCAAATCAATTCTCTGGATTCTATTATGGGAGAGTTTCAGAACTTTCAGCCCTGACAAAAAGCTGATGTCAGAGATCTGAAGCTCAGATATGTAGTTTTGAGATACATCTAAGCTTTTGGTTGTTGGTAGCAGGTTTTTTGGAATGTGAGTAAGGTTATTTTTTGACATGCACGCTTCAAATTCACTTTCTTCACAGATCTGGGTGATGGTTCCGACTATTAAGGTCATGATGCAAACTACATGGAAGGTTCTAATAACAGGTCCTTTGTCTTGGCTCATGATGCAGTGGTGGTTCCAAGGGGTAGCTGCTCTTCAGAGTACTCTGATTTGAGGCCAAGTTCTAGAAATTTAATATACACCAAGATGAACAAATACTGTACGATTACTTGCAAACTCCTACGTAATTCTCAATGATTTCTTCATTTACTGACACAGTGATTTCTGTCCCCATAACTTTATGATATTTCCCCCTGTTATGCAGCTTGCTGATGTCAGAGGGGATAATACAGACCTTCTTAGCAAAGAATTGTGGTGACTTCTTTTGAATTATCCAGTGGCTCCCTAAGGGATTCACTTGGGAGCTACCCTTTGCTCCACACACAGCTCAGAACCTTCTCAGGGCCACAGCAGCCTCTTAGGCAGTACTTGTTGAAAACATTAAAAGGAAAATATACTAACAGCAGCCAACTGGGGCAAGAGATAATTATGAGCAAGCAGCAGACATACTGAAAAGCCATACTGAAAAAGGGAAGGAGGAGGCTGGAAAAGGAAATGCCTAGGAGATAAAAGGCTTTGAAAAGCTCCATGAGTACTAGGGAATCTCGACATTCACACACATGCCCAGAGCTGGACACATGGCTAGAGAACACCTGAGAAAATGATAAACTTTCACCTCTGGCTGAAAGTTTAGGTTCTGTAGAAGCAGGAAGTAAAGACTAAGTCAGGGTCCTGAACAACCTGGATGAGTGTGGGAGAAACAAGTCAACATAGAGCCAGTGTGCAAAGAAGATTATGAGTTTTGGTTTTATTTTGTTTGAATTTTGCTCCAGGAGTTTAAGGAAACCTCCAATAACCCGCAGAGCACAGAGGTAGTAGAACAGTGAATTCCACGTCCTCAGATGATATTCAGTCTTGACAAAAATAATGTGGACAGCTGGGGATGCAGCTCAGTGGTGAGGCCACTTGCATAGGGTGTGCACAAGGCCCAGGGTTTAATCCCCAACCCCAGCACCACAAGAATAAATGAATCAGTAAACAAAAATAGCTTAGAAAGGTCACGAAACAAACAACCTACAACAAACAGCAACCACAACCCCTGGAGAGGTGGACAGAAATTGATTTCTAGAGTTACATCATTATAATATTTATAATGTCTGGCTTTTAAAAAGAAAACCTATTAGCCATGCATAGAAACATGAAAGTACAGTATTACCCATCCAGAGAGGGGAAAAAAATTAAAAGACCAAAATCAGATAAATGACACTAGCCCATATCAACATTGCTCTACAACTACAGTAATCAAAAATATAGGTGATGCTGGCAAAAATATAGGTAACTAGATCAATGAAACAGAATAGAGACCTCAGAAATAGACTCACATAAATAGAGTCAACTGATTTTTGACAAAGGGGAAAGGGCAATTCGATGGAGAAAGGATGGTCTTTAAAAATGGTGTTATAACAATTAAACATGTAAGAAGAATGAGAAGGAGGGGAAAGAAGAGGAGAAGAAATGAGAAGAAAAGGAGGAAGAGGAAAAAGGAAAACAAGAAAAGAAGCAGGGAGAAGAATCTGGACATAGATCTTGTCATTTTCACACACACACAAAATGGCTCAAAACGGACCACAGATCTAAATGTAAAATGTAAAATTATAAAAGTTCTAGAAGACAACATAGAAAATATAGGTGATTTGGGGTTTGGAGATAGCTTTTTAGATACCACATCAAAAACAAAATCCATAAAAGAAAAAACTGTCAAGATGAATGTCATTGTTTTACAAACTCTGTGAAGGGAGTTGTCTTAGTTACTTTTCTCATTGCTGAGACAAAACACCCAACACCCAAAGTTAAGGGACAAAAGGTTTATTTAGTTCACAGTTCATAGAGGTTTCAGTCCATAATCTGCTGGCTCCAAGGCAGGGTGGAATGGCAGAGTGCATCACAGAGGAGAAACAGTCCATGGTGGGCAGAAGGTAGCAAAGCAAGCAAGGGAAAGGACAAGCCTCCTTTTGTCCCTTACATTGTATCCAGGCTACAAGGACTAGGGTGATGCCAAACCAATCAGTGGACTGATTTAATAATCACCCACCTTCAATCCTAGCATTGGACCATGAATCAATCATACACTCTAGACTCATCCACCTCTGCAGAAGTCCCCTCTATGACTGCATGAGTCTTTGCGAGGACATCTAGACACAAGCCATAACAGGAGTAAAAAGATAAACCACAGACTGGGAGAAAATATTTGAAAAACATATATCTGATTAAGGATTTGTATCCAAAATATACAAATAATTCTTAAACTACACAATAAGAAAACAAAGAACATAACTAAAAATTAGCAAAAGATGTGAACAGACACACCTATGAGAATGGTTCAAATCCCAAAGCAGCAAATGCTGGACATTTGGGGAGCCACAGCAACTATCTCTCGGACATAAGAATACAAAATGAGATCACAATTTTGCAAGACAACCAGACAGTTTCTTGGAAACTAAGCAGTTTTACCAATGATCCAGCAGTCACCTTCTGAGTATTCACCCACAGGAACTGAAATCTATATCCACACAAAAACCTGCACATAGATGTTTACAGAAGATTCATTCAGAACTTCAGAAAATTGGAAGAAAAGTTTATCTTTTAATAGATGAAAAGATAAACAAAACATGCATTCATATATCAAAATGCTATTCAACCATGAAAAGAAATGAGCTATCAAGCCATGCAAAGGCATAGAAGAATCTTAAATGCATATTTCTAAGTGCAAGGAACCAGTCTAAAGAGGCTACATATTGTATGATTCCAGCTATGTGACATTTCGGAAAAGGCAAAACTAAAGATACAATGAAAAGATCAGGGATTACCAAGGGTTCAGGGGGAGGGAGGGAGCAAGAGAATGAAAGATGAACTGATGAAGTACAGGGAATTTTTAGGACAGAGAAACCACTGTATATAATACTGTACTAGATATACCACATTGTCTATTAGTCAAAAGCACAGAATTAAAACAACATGAAGACTGACTCTAATGTAAAGCATTATATTATCTATAATAGCTCATCAATGGCAACAAATGTACCATGCTAATGCAGATATTATAATAAGAAAAACAATCATAATATAGTGGTAGAGAGGGGGCATATGGGAACTCTCTGTAGTACTTTAAAAATAGTTTATTCTCTTTTAAAGGGGAAGTTGTTTAGCCCCACACCCAAAATGTTAGGCCAGCCAGTTTGATTGTCTGAACTTTTTTTTTCCAGTACTGAGCATTAACGCTAGAGCCTTAGCATCGAGCTACACTCCCAACCCTTCTTTTAAAATTTTGAGACAGAGTCTTACTAAATTGCTAAGTTACCTAGGCTGGGATTGGACCTGTGATCTTCCTGCCTCAGCTTCCTACAGTCCTGGGATTCTAGGCATGTGCCACCACACCCACCTTGATTATCTAAAATTATCTAAAATAAGGAGGCATTCCCAGAAACTACAAGACATACTCAGGAGTCTATGCCAGTGTCCAACTTGACACGTACTTCAGCAGCTGCTTCAACTGTTGACCTGTCATGGGGACAGGCTCACAAACCCATTTCTTTGCTTCTCCTCAGACTCATCTGACCTGGAGTTAACTTTCTAGCTCTGGTCTGAAAATCTGATACAAGTAGAATGGCAGCTGTGTTGATCCAGGCAACATTACTGTTTCAATGGCAGATGTACCCGACCTGAATTACAAACCCAAGGTAGGTATCCCGAGGGGCCAAATGTGGTCTGTTTGCAGCTTGTGGTTCTGAATGTTCACACCTGAGAAGAAGACCTGGTGAGCCCTGAAGATGATGTCAACAGATCCTCCACTCAGCTTGGCCGCACAAATAGGAGAGGAAAAGGATGGGGACAAAGGTGAGGCCTGGTCAGAAGGCTTCGTTGCCTGTGGGTTGATAGCTACAGCTCTGCGAGGACAGGAAACACATACTTTCATAAGGGTAGATGAGGATCAGAATGAGGCCAAATTCATGTGCCAAGGAAGAACTGCCAACTCCCATCACCTCCAGCAACTGGACCTGACCAAACAAGCTACAGCTGGCTCAGTAGAAATGACACCATGGTTCACGGAGCCACTGCAGGAGACAGAATTGATACAGGTCAAACTGGGTGTTTATGTCTGGTAAGGGGTGATATCAGGCACACAGGGTCACAGACCTCATGTCTGCAACTGGGGCAAAGGAAAGGGGCAAAAACTGCACAAAAGGGTAAGCAAAGACCTAGTCTCTCAGAAACTCAGGCATATATTCAAGAGTCTACGTAATCCACGTTCTGAAATTCATAGAAAACTATCTATGCATCCACCCAGGGGACAAAGGCTGGCAAGGTACTGTGCCATTCTGTAAAGCTAGCCAAGGTTCCTGGCCAATGTAACTCTCACAGTGGCATCTGGCATTCTGCCTTCATGACTCAATCACTGTCCAGTGTCCCCACCTTCCAATACCAGCACGGTGGTGATGAGGTTTCATCATGGGAATGGGGGGAGCATGTAGAATACAGTAATGAATACAGAATACAGAATACAGTAATACTTATAGTCTGCTCTTTTTCACTCAAGGAATTAATTTTTAGTCACCAGATCTCATCTATTGACACAGTCTTCATAAGAATAGGTACGTTTTTCTCCAACCAATATGATACCCAGAGCCACAAATTTGAGGCAGGACTCAGCACACAACAAGCTGAAATCATCAAGTTGCCGTAGTTAACACACTGACAAACAGGAGAAGACAGAAAACCATGAAGAAGCACGTGGAAGGGCTTGGGGTATATCACACTAATGCAACTGAATATGAGAGAAAGGATTGTCTTCAGAGGGCCCAGAAGGCCTCCTCCCAAAAAGTGAAAAGTAGTAAAAATGACTGCTAAGCTCCAATAAATACTGATAAGAATCTAGAACTTACATTGCCAGTGATAACAAGGAAATTGGCAGATGGTAGTGGAAGAAGCAAAGAGTGCACTTCAGAGCAGGTTGAGATCCTTGCCTACTTGAGAGGAAGCCATCAGTTCAAGACACTGTTAGAAAAACAGGAGTTTAAGTATTTATATTATAAAATTAAGAGAAAAATTATTGGAAAATAAAAATAA